TCCCCTCCTAGGCTGGGGGCCCAGGGCATCCCCGTGCACCCCTGCCTGCATGCACCTTCCCCGCAGCTCCTTTGGCTGCCGTTCCCGTCACATGGGAGATGCAGAGTCCGCGCTCAGGGCAGGGGTAGCGCATGGAGGCACCTTACCCAGAATGCAATGCACCACCGCACTGTGATTGGTGCTTTTCTACTAGATGCCTGCGTCTCGCCTGCCTCGCAGCCTGACACCCAGGGATTGTCGTACCGTCCGCCTCTTTCAGGAGCGGCCTGCGGGGTGGGCGGGCAGAAAGCCTGCCTTCGCTCTACTGCGTTGGGAACAGCTGGAGGTCCCTGGGCCCTTTTAAGCCTCCTGAACTCCTGGACAATTGCCCCATTTGCCTCCCCTCTCCTATCAACGGGCCCGACTGCCTTAGCCCATAGGTAGCCGCACAACTGAACCCACTCCGGGAGTAAGGCGCTGCTCGCTGCAGGAGCATCCGAATCAGGGTTACTCTTCCTCAGCTACCAACGCAGGAGTGTCGTGTATCCCCCGAAGCCGGTGCCAGGAACCCACTAGGTGCCTTTAAGTTGCTTTACTTTGGACTCATGAGAGATCTTTGATCAGGATTTGTTCAAGCCATGCCAAAGCCACCTGGGTGGGGGCGTTTATGGGGAAGAGTGCAGCCGGATTGTCATTTGAACGCATGCAAAGGCGTCTCCTGTTTCCGAATTGCAGCTACCCCTGGCTGTGAGAGGGCTTTCCGTGTCAGCTGCCTTTCTGCTTAGTTGTAATAAAACATACCAGTTCCTTTCATGTTTTGTTTTGAGTTCCTTCCCCTTTTAGAAATGCAATTGCGCTGTCCGTGTATCTCCACCACCCCGGCTTGACTTCTCAGGCTGATCTACCAATAACTCGCCTCTAAATTCTCCCCAGTTAAGTGAACGGAGGAAAAAAATGGGGAAGAGGCACTTCGGAATTTGTCTCTTCCCTCCAGGTCCTCTAGCTTCATAGTTTCTTACCACGTGGGTTGAAGAGATTCTTACACATCTTGCTGAGGGCAAGTTGATGGGGCTAGTAGATTAAGTAAGTGCTCTTCCATCTGAGGAACGTCTAACCCTCAGTGAGTGGTGACTTGTGGGGCTTTCATTAAACATGCAAGTGGGGTGGTCAACGGAAAAATGGGGCAGGTGTTGGGGGGAGGAGAAGGTTAGCCAATAACAGTCTATCCCCAAAAGTCCACCCCAGGTTTTGCACAATGTCCCATTCACATTGGAACACCCCACTTTGGAGCCGTTATTCTGCTCTACAGAGATCTCCAGATAGCATTATATTTTTCAATACAGTTGTAAAATTTTTTACCTCACAACTGATCCTTGGGACATGTCTTCACTATGGACTGGATCAATGGGCAGCAATCGATTCAGCGGGGGTTGACTTATCATGTCTACTATAGACATGCTAAATTGACTGCCGAGCACTCTCCTGTTGATTGCGGGACTCCACCAAAATGAGAAGAGTAGGAGGAGTCAACGGGAGAGTATCAGCGGTCGACTTACTGCAGTGAAGATACCGGTAAGCAGACCTATGGACGTTGACTTCAGCTACATTATTCGAACTAGTTCAACAGCCCACAGTAGTGTAGACAAGGCCTTAGCAAGCAAAGTCCTGTAGTACAGGATTGCCTTGCTCATATTCAGCTAACATTCAACTCTCCAAATGTATAAACTGTGATGCTTTCAAGCTGGGAAGCCTCATTGATCCATAGTTAATTGCTCGTATGTTATCGGAAAAAGGAGGCCTGTAAACACAATAGGAGGCAAAAGTGGTAGATTGCATAGCTATGTACTTGGGTGAAATATATGGGTCTATCTTCCTGGAATGCTTTTACTTTCTTCTCCCTCTCCCTGCTTTTGACCAGAAAGTCAATCCCGGCCCCGAGAATCCTTCCCACTGAAAGTTTTGCGGCACCTGGTACATGCCCTGAGAATTTTCTCTTTTGACAAATCGACATTTTCTGATGAAAACAAAACAAAACCCAGAACAACCAACACACTGAAAATTTGCCAAGCAGCTCTTCTTTGACCCCTGCAGCCCAGCTCCAGTGCCTGCCCATGGTGAGGATGGTCCTTTACCATCTCCTGAACATCTGGACTCTCCTCAGCTCCCCTGCAAGTGACGTCAGCTGTAGGAATAGCAGCAGCAACGGGCTGCCTTCCTCTCCACCACCTCTGGTCTCCACTCAGGTTGGGGTATCCTGGCGGGGGACACGGGCCGTGAGTGGTGCCCTCTTGACAGCAACACCCCGGCTGGCCTCCACACACCCACCCTGATCCTCTGGGAGTGTCAGCAGCAGAGGAGGAGGCTGGGGTCATCTGAGTTTCTTCCCATCTCTGTCCACCCTCTCCCCACATCAAGGGGAACTAGCCAGTGACACCAGACTTCACGGTCTCCCAGGCTCTCTGTCAGCTGCCTAATAGGAGAGGAAACATGGCTCCAGTCTGTCGCTGGTGGACCATGCAGGGGGCCTGGTTAGAGCCACAGCTCTACTTACAGGGACCATGCACACAACGACCCCATCGTAGATTTGCCCGTTTCTCTGCTTCAGCCCCTGCGTTTGTTGCAAAGTCTCATTGAGCCGTGGCCTTATGTTGGCAGTGAGGTTGGTTGGAGGGGTTCTCCATCTCCCGTCCCCGTCCAGCAGGCACCTGGCACGCTCTGGGCATGGCGTAAATCATAACAACGGCCTGTTGAATAAAGTTGTGTGAAACTGAACTCCCAATGCCCCGGGCAGGGCAATTCATCGGTCAGCTCACGTCTCAGTCTGGTGTCCAGCGCCGGCTCCTGACGGCATGGACGGGGAAAGCGAGTCAAACCAGCTTAGCTGACTCATTGAGGCCGGTAGGGACAGTATCACGTTTTCACTGCTCACTGACGTGCGAAATAGCTGAGCGTGGAGAAGAGGATTAAACTCTCCCCATTCAGGAGAGGCCAGGGCGGAACAACTTCCGCTTTCGCCAGCAAGGCTAAATGCCATCAGAAGCGTCAGCCACCATGGGGTGGGGCCCGGACATTTATTTTGGCCAAGACTCACCATTTAAACCCTCAGAGGGGGGAGATGTGTTAGTCTGTAGCTTTACAACCAACGAGTGGTCCTGTGGCATGTAAGCCTTGGTCTACACTAGGGCGTTATTTCAAAATCACCCCATAAGTCAAATTAATAAACGGTGCGTCCACACGACCAGGCCTGTTATTTCGAAATCTGTACTCCTGTTTTCCTCAGGGAACAAGGCTTACTTTGAAATCCCGTTAGTGTGGATGCTCCTGTGCTGCTATTTTGAAATAACTTCTCCCCAGAGGCATTCGAACTAATTACTCCCCAGTGCTTCCCAGGGCTCTACGTTGAGTAGCGCATCCGCGTTTCTACTCCAACTCATCTGACGAAGTTTTCTTTACTCCCGAAAACTCATGGTCATTTCAACCCTGTTTTGTGTACCACAGAACTGAGCATGGCGTCTTGCTTCTGCAATTTTCAGCCCATTTCCTTTATTTTTTTTAAAAACCACCTAGCGATTTCCATGCGCACTCCCCAGCTCCTTATATAGACAGCAAGCTTCCAATAAATAAATGATTAAACATGCACACTCTCCCGCTACCAGCCCACCTGCTAGCCCCTTTGCCTACTAGGCTAATATCATTCAGTGTGTGAGGTAAGATTACGTTTCTTTATTATTTGCATCATGTGGCAGGACTTATGGGCCCCAGCCACGGAGCAGGATAGCAGGGCACTTGGTGCTGTACAAATGCCGAACACGCAGCGAGGCCCTGCCTGGAAGAGCTGACACATCTTGTTTTCTAACCGAACTGCTGTTTGTTATAACGAATACCAAAAGGAAAGCTGCGACCCCCCCCCCCCCACGGTGCCGGCTGCTTCCAGTTTCTCCCCTCAGTTGTGTGTTCCTGGGTCCCGCGGCGACGCGCGGTCGCGAAATCAAGGCATCGCTCCGCCTTCCCGTTGGCTGAGGTGAAGATTCTCAGGACAGGAACGAAGTCAGCAGGACACTGAGGAGCAGGGCAGGCAGGAGGCGGGAAGCGCTGACGCGGGTGCTCCAAGAGGCCGTCGTTGGCTCTAGAGAAACGAGAAGCAACGTGGCGGCTGAGGAACGGAAAGCTCGGCAGCCATTTCAATCCGCCATTTCCCGTCCTGTCTGGAGACACCCAGGGAAGCCTACGAGCCCCCTGGCTAGAATTTTGGAGCAACTGACATCTCCCTCCCAAATCATCCACCCCGTGCGTCACTGAACCTCCGCCCCATGCTGGAACGGGCCGGCGTGGAAGGGCATAGCTGGTCCTAGTGAGATCTCAAGCCAGAGGGACGTTCTCAGTCCAGCAGTTGGAGCACTCATCTGAATACTGGCCCTCTCTGCTTAGATTCCAAGTCCTGGTCCATCACGGCACAGGATCATGCAGCCAGATCCCCTTTACTGATGTGCAATGGTGAAACCTCCCAGGCAGACCGAGTTGTGCTTGTTTGCTCCCTGGGTTATCAGAAAAAGGGGTATTTAAGCCCAGTTCATGGAAACCCAAAGCCCCGTGTGTTTCATACTTTCCAGCTTGGGGGGGAGACTGATGTAGCCATCTGGGATTCCCCCTGTGATCCCAATGTCCAGTTTATCCAGCTCGGACTGTCTCTGCAGCCGGATCCAGTCCTGGGCAGGTGAATTGTACTGTTGGCCTTTCAGATCTTTGAGATTGAGACCCAGCAAGCCCCGGATGTCGCCAGCGGTTAGTTTCTAGGGGGAAAGCAAAGTAGTGGAGTTGAGGGCCAGCTCTTCCACGGGGGCGCCAGGACTGCAGGTGAAATGTCACGTTGCCAATAATATTTCTGGGCCCCCTGCAACCAGCCCCACCCTGCCCTGCTCCCCCACCAGGCTTCCTGGCTCCCCCCCCCCAGCCCAGCTGAGCCATGCGCCAGGCTCCTGTCCCCAGCCCCCACCGCAGTCCAGCTGGACCATGTGTCGACTCGACCTCTCCCTGCATAGCGTTGGGCTTCCACCTTCCACCCAACCCCCCTGCAGCGCACTGGGACATCCTGACCCCGAAACATCTGTGGTCCTTCCAGATCACGGATGGTGCCGGACCAGAGAGTTCTGGTTTGTAAGGTGCAACCTGTCGAAGGCTTGGGAAGTAACCAGGCCGGCCGACAGGCCAGGGGAGGAGGCAAAGGGGCAACTGCCCAGGGCCCGGTGATTCCAAAGGGCCCGGGGCTCCCGGCCACCGATGTGCTACTGCAGCAGCGGCTGGAGCCCTGAGCCCTTTAAATTGCCAAGGAGCCACTAGCCCCGCCCCTTCTGCCTGAGGCCCCGCCCTTTCCAGGAGGACGGAGCCCCGCCCCTCCTCCGCCTTACCCAGGGGGACGACAATTCTCTCAGCCCCTCTGCAAGTAACCACCTTGGGACCGTTTTTAAAGAGGCGTTTGTAACGTGCTTCGCAGAACGGGGCCCCGGCCCCGCCCACCGCTCTACTGGCCAGTCTGACCTCAGGAGAGTCCCCAAGTCTGGCGCCGAGCCAGGCCCGCCGCAGCCTCCCTCCGGCTCTCCCGTGTCACTCCTCTGCGTTGGACTCGCCCGGGCCTGACTCCAACCTCTCAGCGCTTCCACACGGGAGGAACGGCCCGGAGTGTGGGGGGAGGGAAGTCCTGCGGGACACGGGTGCAGGCGGGATCCGGCCCGATGTGCGTGAGGGAACGCTCCGTCGCCCTCACACTCACCAGAATGGAGTCTTTCCTCAGGCTCATGAAGGTGCCGACGTCCATGTTCACGTTATCCCTGCTGAGCGCGCTTAGGTCTTCGCCCGGGGCGCCGGCTGGGGCGGGAAAGAAACACAATCACAGTTGTGCGGCGTGGGAATAACTGCAGCGCCCAAAGAGGCAGCCCATTCCCAGGCTACATGGGCCTTCCTCGCCAGAGAGTGCGGATCCTACGGCCCGGACCTGTGATTTACGCCGGCCTGGGACTCGCAGCCTCCACGAGCACTGGCAGAACTCTCCCAGAGATGGAAACTAACTCATCATGCCCGTGTCTAGCACTAGGTAATACGCCGGGAGCTGGCTGCGCTTGTCGGCGAACGCTTGCTTCGCTTTGGGGTACAGGATGTCTTTGGTAGCCTGAGGACAGGCGGACGGGTCCAGCGAGTTGGCCCTTCTGCAGAAAAGCGAAGACAAAAGCCCGCATCACGTCACCCGTCGGAAATGCTGCACCACGGGAAACAAGTGTCTGAGCTTCTTGTGGCTGTCTGCCCCCAAACCCGCTTGGGATGGGGTGTCTGCCCTTGCTTCGCTTTGGGGTACAGGATGTCTTTGGTAGCCTGAGGACAGGCGGACGGGTCCAGCGAGTTGGCCCTTCTGCAGAAAAGCGAAGACAAAAGCCCGCATCACGTCACCCGTCGGAAATGCTGCACCACGGGAAACAAGTGTCTGAGCTTCTTGTGGCTGTCTGCCCCCAAACCCGCTTGGGATGGGGTGTCTGCCCTGCACTGGCCCTTTAAGGGTTAAAACCCAGCCCTGGGAAAGGGCTGGCGCCGTGGGTGGAGCCAGCAGTGGTGGCAGATGGTATCAGCCAATTAGGGCCCAGCTGAGGGCTGTATAAATAAAGGCTCCTGGACTGCAGGAAACTCAGACTCACTCTTGCTCCAGCTGGGGAGCAGGAGGGACTGGCTGCCAGGGAAGCTATGGACTTCCTGAGACAGAGCAGGGCTGGGAGCTGTGGCCAGGCAAACTCCCAGGTTGCAGGCCTGAGACAAGGCCTGTGGGTACTAGGGCTGTAGGGGACCGCAGGTCCACACCCCCTTGCGTATGAGCAGTGGCCATTACAAATGGCAGTTTGCCCTTGAGGCAGGGGCTAGATGAAGACCGGCAGGGGGTCACTGAGGCAAGGTGGGGATAGGGGGTCCCCAGAGGGAGAGAACCCCAGAGTGTGGGTGCACGGTGGCAGGGCAGTACCCAGAGGGGAGGGCGCCACAGTCTTGGAGGACGTGGGTCCTAACACAGAAGTGAAGGAAAAATACAACACAGTGGGGAGACACCAGTGGAAAAGGGGGCACTCCAGAGCTGAGAAGCTAATTCCCAGAGCCTCCAGCAGGAGGCGCCCGCGGCAGTGAGGCCCACCGTGTTACTCCACTGAGAAAAGTCACCGGTTGTAGCCAAGAAAATAAGCTAAAACTCAGAGACAAGTCAAGTGACGTCCCCAAGGCCACATGCCAGAGAAGTGGCAGAGCTGGGGGGCCAGCTCCTTGCTATGCTACTTCCTGGGTCGGTTTGCGGTAGGGATCTGGGCTGGCTGGGAGAACAGAAACAAAGAAGACCGCCTCCTCCACTCACTTGAGGGTGTCGGGGTCTATCATTTGCAACTGGGGCTCCGTCAGAAGGCATATGTATCGCGTGCCGATGGCGTTCAGAGCCGTGACGTTCAGCGGGTTTCCCAGGCTGATGTATTTTGTGATGATGAAAGCCGCCTGCGAAGGGTTTGAAAAAGAAGCCGAATAACCTGGAAGTCTTTCTCCCTCCCCGGCCCCTCGCGGGAAGCCAATGTCCCCTCCGTGCAAAACACGACTGGAAAAGCCTGGTCCGGCCATCCCGGCAGGACTACCCGACTTTGAATACGATAAGCAGCCCCCAATGAAACCAGGCCCCCCAAACGCTGGCGGAAAGCCGCCTGCGAAGGGTTTGAAAAAGAAGCCGAATAACCTGGAAGTCTTTCTCCCTCCCCGGCCCCTCGCGGGAAGCCAATGTCCCCTCCGTGCAAAACACGACTGGAAAAGCCTGGTCCGGCCATCCCGGCAGGACTACCCGACTTTGAATACGATAAGCAGCCCCCAATGAAACCAGGCCCCCCAAACGCTGGCGTTACCTGGTCGTTGGGCGGCTCGTTGCTCGGCAGGAAGGCGAGTGTGTCCGCGGAGGTGAGGTTCCATTTTTTAATTTCGTCGAAGGTGACCAGGGAGGCGATGGCCCCGAGGTTGCGGATGACCTTGTCAGGGTACCCGTTGGGATACAGCTGGGGACAAACGGATGGTTAATCCCGGCGACGCAGTGTGTTTCTCGGAGGGCGCATGACGGCGGTGGGGCCAGGGAGAAGCAGGGCCAGCAGGGAGGCGCACGAAACGGTCTGTTTGCTTTCCCCACGCGCTCTCCCGTTCCTCGCGTACGCCGGCCCCCCCCCCACCCCAGCCGCCGTGGGGGGGGGACAGCTGGACATGGTCTCTGGACCTCTGACAGCGAGGTGCTAGCAGACCCACCGCTGGGGGGCCCGGTAATTGCTCTGGGGCCTGGCAATTCAAAGGGGGTGGTGGCTGGACCCTGGGTGCTTTAATCTGCATTTGGAGCGCCACATGGCACACTCCAGGGCTGCCTGGGGAAGCCGGAATGCCATGCGCTGGAGGGGGACACAGCTGGGGTGGTGTGAAGGGTTGCCTTTGGCCCCGCCCCTTCCCATGAGGCCCCGCCCCTTCCCCATGAGGCTCCGCCCCTTCCAGGAGCGCAGAGCCAGCCTCGCTGCACCTGGTCTGGGCTCCACCTATTCGTGCACAGGGTTGTGCTGCCCTGCAGCCCGGCCTTACCTCATCCAGCTTCTTCTTCAGCACGGCCAACTGCTGGTCGGTGAAGGGGTAGTGCGACATTTGGGCCAGGTGCTCCACCAGGGTGACCCCCTGCAAGCAGGCCTGTAATTCCTCCGGGGTGTAGTAGATGGGCATGAGCTCATCCATCACCACTGCCTCGGTGATGTTCTTGTCCGGCGGGCACTCTGTCGGGGCACGGATCCGACAGCGCCGGCGTTACGGGCCGTCTCACCGCCCTGCCTTGTCGCTACCCCACCACCCCCGGCGCGGGTGAGGACCGCAGGCGCTCGGCGGACGCTGCAGGGCGCGCTG